CCCCCCCTCCCCGACAGCATATGTTGGCTGATGTGTACGTGGCCCGGATGAGTGACCTCGGAGCCAACGACCAGCAGTTTCACTGTCGCTCTCACCTTGGACATCTGCTCCGCGCGGGGGACACGGTGCTGGGGTGAGTTGTAGAGTGTGTAAGAGTGTGTGAGTTAGCACGTGGAGCGTGTCAACTGTCGGTAACAACATTCAGTTTTTTGCCTCTCCTATGATATTGTAAAAACTGCACCTTACTGTATTCTTAAGAATGACGGCAGAGCAGTAACTGCTAGCAGACCCACTGGATGTTATCAATTTTCCTGTCTTAGATTCGGGATAAATAAAATAAAAATTCTGAAAGTTTGGACAGGGCAATATGACATTGTCTAGTTCTTGCTTTGCAACTTTGAGGTTGTTAAACTCTCAATATATCAGACAATTATGTACAGTGTGTCCCATGTTAGGCAAATGCACAATGCATTCCCTTCGCAAGGTTCTATCCACATTGTGCGGGTGTATGACATGCGCTCAATTTGCTGCACAATGAAAGGTTTTCATCTGATTGTGAAAAAAGTTGTCGTGCTCTACACTGCAAGTCATGGAGTAATCACACTGTATTTTCCTTTTGAAAGAAGGCACAGAGAAGGTACTAATACTCTGGAAAACAGCCTACTGAGGCCTAGGAGGTGAATAAGTCCGTTAAGTCTTATACGTGGGTGGTTGGCCGGTGCTCTGGTGTGGTTTGTTTCTTCTTTCCTATCAAACATCTATCGTCCTTCTCTCCCCTTCTTCTTTTGTGTGTTTGCTGCTCTCTTGTAACACCTCTAATCTTCGGCACTTATATGACCTTATTGTGTTGCAAGTGCTGTAAAACTCTAACTAAAACTAAGAAGTCTTATACTAAAGTGAAAAAATAATATTTTTTCTCTCTTCATCGTTTGCAGGTTTGACTTCAGCAATGCCAACCTGAATCATCAACACTTTGAGGCGATGAAGGGAGACAGGATCCCGGATGTGGTGAGTTTTGGGTGCTGGCCACAGGCCTATGTGGGAGAAACGTGGGAGGGTAGGTGCGGGGGAAAGAACTGGTCAGTGGAAGATAGTCCAAAGTGATAGTGGTGATATAACAGAGGGGATATAGCTAATTAGAAGTGGAGATATACTGCCCTAAGCTGACAAAACGACTTTTGTTTTCATTTTTGTCACAAATTTAAAAAAATAATTAATTTGGTAAGTGAAAATCAAAGTGAAACTGATTATTTTTTTTTTGGTATGTTTTTTTGAATAAATTAGCCTTCAAATATCGGAAAAACGCCTTTTTTAAATAGTTGCGCCGACAAAATGCCTTTTTATCTAAAAAAAACCCTGCTGTACACTGACAAAACGCCTTTTTTTATTCACAGCAGTTTTGAGAAAAGAGTTTGTTTTTTTGTCAGCATAACCATTGAAAAATAGAGTGCTTCCGAAATTTGAATTTGAATTAAGAAACTAGTGACAGTTTCTCTTTGATTTTTTCATGCAAGTAGGGTGACTGATCAGGCTTTCGATTTAAATTTTGGCACCAAAATGAAAAAAGGCGTTTTGTCAGCTTACGGCAGAGCTCTTGTTGTTGCCTATGGCCTGCCACGCAAGGAAAAAATAAACCCCAAACAAACTGAGGATAGTGGTGATGGCAAGTTTTTAAAAAACATTGATTGTTATTATGGCCATGTTTGTAGTAAAGCATATTGTTTGTGGCTTATGGTTACAATTAATAGAAAAGTGATATGAATGACTGATTTTCAGTGAGTGTCTCCCCCCCCCCGCCGCCTCTTCCTCTTTTTAGAAAAAAAAATTATACGGGAAAGGAAATCAGCAAAGTGATGGCAGTCCTGTAGTAGCTCTAGAACTGAATTTAAAAAGATCACATAGGACTATGAAATATGTAGTAGGCCTTTGTATTTTTAAGATTCACAATGAAGCTTACGGTTTTCTTATTACTATTTCGCAAGAGTATTCTGTATTATTATTATTGTTGTTGTTGTTATTATTATTATTTATTATTAGTATTATTATTTATGCTATTATTCTTATTATTGGTGTAGAGTTGCACTCACTTTGATCAAGGAATTGTGTGAAAAATTACAGTCAATATGTATGTCTTCTTTAGATGCTGGTTAAGAAGGTGTTTGATCGTAACAAGAGGATTCGCCGCAGAAAGTGGAAGTTGGAGAGATTTGATGGGGCTGATGAGGCAGACACTGAGAGCGTTAACAGGTGAGAGAAATTTTTGAGATGTTGACGTATAGTCTGATTATTAACCTACCCAGCCCTAATGCCGATAGTATTAGTACGTGTGCTCAATGCTCCAACCCTAATGTTGACAGTATCGGTATGGATAATTTCGCTTGCGTGACCGAATAGGCTACTTTTAAAACAAAGAAAGCTATATCGGTGAACCTTGTGAGGGGGTTTGAAATTTGAATGCACTTCCTTTCTTCGCTTTTTGTTTACTTTTGGACTCTGTATATAGATCTAGACCTTTTTCCACGGAGTATTACAATTATTGTCATACGGAATCAGCTTAATATAAATTCTCTGGTCAAGTGAAGTTTGTGTTATCGGGGTTTTATTTTGTATATATGAGTTGATGTTATTGTTTCTTCATGCTGAAACAAGTGTTTGTTTACCAGTGTGTCTTTGCCCATCTGTTCGTGCAGGGACTTCAACGACTTCTTGGAAGACCTGGAGGAGGATCAAGCGATCAGAGAGAACGTCAACATTTACAAAGGTGAGAGTACCAAGTATTTCCGTATTTCTCCTGGGACGTTGTATCATTTCTTGAGTTGGTTTTCAGTCAAGTTTATCTTTTCCTGGGGTCCCAGCACCTCTTCCTCTTCACGTTACAGATTCCATCGATTATGTCGAATTTTGGATGAGTCGTTCTTTTTTTCACTCCCCCAATGACATCGGTTCATCCTCAGTTGACTGTACTTCTACTACTCTTATACTACTTTCTTTCATTGACCATGTGTTGTTATTGTGTAGATATGCTTCTGTTAACTCTACTAACAAAGCTAAATTGAACTGATGTGAGGTGTGTCTGTAGATCAGAAACCATCTCAGTAAGTGTATTTATTTAAGTTTATGATTCTTTGTCACTACTTTTCGTGACTAGTGGCAGGTGTTTTGATGTGGTTTGCTCCTTCTTTCCTATCAAACATCAGTTGGCTTTTTCTCTCCTTTTTTGTGTTTGTTACTCACTTGTAACACTTCTAATCTTCAGCATTTTTATGACCTTATTGTGTTGCAAGTGCCTGAAAACACTTACTTAAACAAGTGTTTCTGTCTGTGCAGCACACATTTACTTTTACCGTATGTTATTATTGTGTCGGTGTGCTTCTTTTTACTCAAATAAAATTAAACTGAACTGATTTCAGATGTGTCTGTAGATCAGAGACCATCTCAGCTCATGTATTTCAAATCTTTACTCACTTATTTAGTTTGGTCAAATGAAAAATGTTGAAAAATTGTCTCACTCTGACCGCGGACTGTTCCCATTCGCCAGATCCGAGCAAGATCTCCGTGCAGGCTGAGGACACCGACGATGAGGGAGCCCCACAGATCAGTCTGATGGAGATGTTGGAAGATCTGCACATCTCGGAGGATGCCACGGGTGGGGAGGGAGCTCCCATGATGGAGTAGGTGGTTCAAGATTGGGAGGATAAAAGAAAAAAAAAAATTAATAAACCTCATGAATGAAGTATTTATGTCTTGGTTTTTTCCCCCCTCTCTCTTTCTTTGTTTCTCTATCACTCTCTATCACTCTCTCTCTCTCTCTCTCTCTCTCTCTCTCTCTCTCTCTCTCTCTCTCTCTGACTTTTTCTCTCTTTTTTTCTGTCTCATTCTTTGTTTGCCTGTCTGGAGGACAAAAAAACCCAAACAATAACTGATGAATGAAGTGTCTTTTTTCCCCCTCCCTCCTCTGTTTCTCTCTCTCACTCTCTCATAATTTTTCCCTCACATCTCCACTTTGCATTATGGTTAGCCCTTTGAAGCTTTTATTTGTCGTTCATCATGTGATGTTCGCTGTGGCTTGTCGGTCCTATGCAAATTCCCTCATGGTCTTTTTCAAACATCATGTACTATGCTACTAATGTAAGTTCAATATGTTGAACTGACAGGCTGTGTAGGGCTTCAGTTAACACTGGTCCAAAAGGTTTTAAAATGCTCTGATGCTCTGAAGTCTTGTCCTTGGGTAAGTTTTATAATTTCATCCGAAGCTGTAACAGGTTCAGAAATTTTCATCCCTTTAAACCAGCACTGTGTTGAACTCTGAGATCTGTATATATGAAGTGTTCTTGTGTAGGAGCCTGTGCTGTATCAAGATCTTAATGCTCTTTGTGGTAGTAAGTTACTAAACTTATAGAGAAATGTATCCTCTTGGGATAAGATGGGCTTACTTCAGAGCGCTTAATTTTGCGGGAGAAGCAAAATACGTGTTTGGTTTTTATCACTTATCACCGTAGCGGTCAGTGGGTTATTTGGCTTTATTTCAAATGCTTTACAAGCATTTCTAGTAAAAATTCAGGCCTGTCTGTGACTGAGCATATGAAATGGATAATTTATGATCCGTTTGTCAAATTATAAAACAAAATGGTGATACAGTTGACCCTGCTTGTGTCTGACTCTATGGAGTTGACCTTCCGTTAAGTTGATCTTTTTCTCGGGGCCCAGCACCTTCCGCTTTACTGTTCCCAGCGGTTATGTTGAACTTTGGATGGGTTGATCTTGTTCCCTTTCCTCTGGCAACATCAAGTCATCCGTAGTCAGGTGTATAAACTGATTATTAGCCAGTCTTACCACATAGGTGACGATATGGTGTACATAAAGCGAAAGCAATGTATCTGCACCGTGTTAGATGTATGAGTTTTGGTTGGTTTTTGGTAAAGGTTTTATGACGCTCGCACACCTACTTGTCCTTTGAGCGCTGTTTTTGTTTTAAGTAAGTGCCCTGTTAGCCATTTTTTAATTCTTTTTTTTTTCAAAAAAAGTCATTTGAGCTTTGTTTTTGATGTGAGTGCCCTGTAAGGTATCTTTTTATTAATTCTCTTTTCCAAAAACGTCATTTGCCTCCTTAGGTTTCTGGAAAACACTGCTGTAGATTTTACTCAATTATTACATCACTATGGTTGATTGAGTGCTTCCAAGATTTTAATTGAGTGTTTTCTCATAAAAATAATGGTATTTTTGCAGGTTTACGATCTTGCTTTATTGCTGCAATATATACTTGTAATTTTAAAATGTGAGAAGGGAGAATGCTGTCATTTATTTTGCAACTTGTTTAAGGTTTGTTGATCAGTGCTTGTTTAACGTACTAGACACTGTCCAATTATTTCATTGCTGCATTGTATAGATATGTGGGTGTGAGTCAGTCCTGGGACAAATTCTTTAACTTTAATGTGTGCTGCTTTACATTGCAGGTTTCTAGACCACGACAAAGTTACTACATTGATTTATGTGATACACGTGTGTGTAAATGGCATTATGCACATTCTCTACTAATGTAATATACGTGGAACCGTAACTTCAATTAAAGACTGAGGAAAGGATATGTGCTTGTGTTGTTGTTTAGAGTTTAAATGTTTGTTGAGTGTTATTTTAGGTTTATGGTTTTGAATATGATTAATGTTTTATGCTGTCATTGACATATTTTTAATCAATAAAAAGGGAAATAGTTTTGAGGCTGATTGTCATGGCCAGCCTAGGTTGAGTGAGATGCTACACGGCAGCAGAGGGATGGGGGCACCTCATAGTATGTGCGAGGCAACAGGGTGAAATCAGGCGCTCGTCAAAATATTGAAATGGGAAAAAAATGGCATTTTTCCTCGAGTTTGGCTATTTTTGGCGAATTATTATTTTTTTTCAACATTTTATATTTCCAGTCAAGAACACATTTTTGTGTTGATTTTACTGAAAAACTTTGAGGGAACTGCAGATATCTTGATTTCTTTTCAAGGTAAATGGGTATTTTTTTCATTTGCAAGACAAATGAACAAGCTTCCCATGACAAATGAACACAGTGACTGAATAATGAGTATTAGCCTATTGTGAGAGTGGAAGGGTTGGTTTGAGAGAGAGAAAAAGTCGATGCTGGTGGTAGAGGGTTTGTGTTTTAGTTTCTGAGTAGGTGTTTTTATGCCCCAAATCGACACAATTTAAATCAGTTAGGAGGCGTACTTCGATCTTGCGCCTGTCGGGGCCAATCCGGCTGGCCGAGAGGGATACTGCATTCCTTAGCTAAAAGACTTGATATACTCTATAAATAAGAATTCTCCCCTCTTTGGAACCGAACTTGTGCGTGTGACAGCGAAGCACCTGACCGCAATGCCACAGACGCCGATGATATTGTTAGGGGTGTTGTGAGTATTGGTTCTAACAACATTTGTAATTTTGTAAATCAGCAGCTGTGAGTGATATTTTAGTGGCGTCAGTGGCCTAGTGGTTAGGCTACCAGACCCGTAATTGTGAGATTGCGGATTTGGGTTTTCGAGCCTCAGCTCAGTCCGAGTTTGGGAAAGATACTTTACACAAATTTCCCATTTGGCTCAGTCCTTTAGGAGATGGACGTTAAACTCGGAGGTCCTGCCTCTTCTTAAATAAACTTATACATGTTGTGTTGATAGGGGCGTTAAACCGTTACCATTTCTTGAGTGATGCTTTCCCAAATTAGATGGAAGATTAAATCTATATGGATTATTATACGATGGATATGATAACACTATGCTCCCTCCTTGAAAAACATATAAAATTGGGGCGGAAAATTGCGCAGGTCTTGCCCTGTTTTGCAAAGGGTTACTCAATAGGCCGCCTCCCCATGGATGGTAAATTCCGCTGGGTTTAAAAACCTGCGCAATTTACCGCTGCCCATAAAATTCACAACAAAGTCCTTATATTTATAAATCTATGTGACGCGAGGGCTCTCGTGGTCAAGAGGTACGGTATTCGCCTCTCATGCAATAGGTTCCGGGAAGTGACGGAAAATTTTCTTCTTTAAAAAGTATGTTCTCCTTTCACCCCCTTTCCTATTCTCTATGTTCTGTCGTCTGCTTTCGTCTCCACTTTCTGCTTCCCCCCATTTCCCCCTTCTCTGGGCTTCTGACTCTTTCTGCCGCCTTTTTATTACTACTCCTTGGCTTCTTCTAATCTTACTTCTGTCTATCAGCCGCACCCTTGATCGTAGGTTCTAACACCTAGCCTTCTCGGATAAAAATCGAGGAAAAAATCTCGGAGGTCTAATTTCCCCTCTCCAGGCCAGTACTACTGACTGAAGTGTCTTTAGACCTAGTCTTTAGCTCATTCCCAAAGGGGGTATTAACATGTTCTTATGGCATGCACAGTAGAATTGTAAATGGGCTGATTTATCGATGTCATGCTCATACTGTGCCGGAACAACATAGGGGGAACTGCTGTTTTTTCTTTCCTCATCCTTACTATCGTCATTTTTCCTCTACTTCTTTTGTATATTTGTCACTCTCTTGTGAACTGCTATTTCCTAGGTGCCTTGATAGTCGAAGCAGACTGCTGTTGAGGCTAGAGAGGTGAGCAGAGTAAGCCTGATTCCCCGTTTGGACTTCTCTGTTGACATCCACCCCTTGGCGCTCATAATCACATGACCTTATGCCGTAAAAACTTACTTTAAAAAAAAGAGGTCCCATGAGCAAGTTGCACACGTCAAAGTCAACGATTCCTTGGTGGTCCTAAAATCGGTAAAAGTAAGAGAAGGCTTCGGTCGTCATCCGGGCAATATTTAAAAAAAAGAATTCCTACCAAACTGAAACTGCTTAATGAATGTGTCCCGAACGCTCATATTATGACCCTATGCAGTTGAGAGCGTCGTAAAACACTTACCAATACGACCCGCAGGTTGTCGCCGCGAGCTCTGGCGTGGTTTGCCCCTTCTTTCCTATCAAGCATGATCTACCATCCTGATCTCTCCTCCTTTTTTGTGTTTGTTACCCTCTTGTAACACCTCAAATACTCGGTACTCTATTCATGAGTTCTCTGTTTTCTAAATGCCCCCCCCTTCCCGAGGTTTCATATCATGTAAGAGCACAGCGTACAAATAAAATGAAAACTCACAATACGAAGAAAAAAGGCTTTTTTTTTAAGGTAAAAAAAGGAGCAATTTTCATAATATAACGCTTCTTGTAAGACGGAGCACAACATACAAACAAAATGAAAACACACAGCATGAAGAAGAAAAAAAAAGCTGGATTATTAATATGTAACAAAAAAAAAGCAGCAATTTTCATACACGTAATCACTTACATGTAATTTGTATACCACTCACGAGTCACTGATCTCTACGAGCACACAGAAGAGTGTCGTGGAAACTGAACTGAATTTTCAAGGCTGTACACCCCCCATGACTCAGTCCTATCGGAGATGGACTCTACTTTCGGAGGTACATGTATAAATTTTCCCTGAAATCATCATCATTATCATCATTTACAACAACAACACCAACATCTTAATTTCAGCAATAACAACAACAACGACAAGAATATCATAATCAACAACCAAACAACCACAGCAACCGCAAGTTTATAACTAGACTGTCCCCGTGGTTTTATGCACCCCGCATAATTTAGCAATATTTGATCATTTTTTGCATAATTTCTGCTTATTTTCCTTTATCAGTCTTTGTTAAAATAAACGAAATCGCATAATTTCCCATTTTTGGGCACAGTTTGCATAATTTCTGAATTTTTTGTGTGTGCATAAAACCGCGGGGACAGACTAGACCAATGATCAATATCAAAGCGAGGGGAGCCCGCCAAAGCCAAACTATCTACATTCCCCTTTCCCTTCACCTATCCCGTAGACTGGATATCCGTCGGGGCGCTTTTGAAGATTTGGCCATCAGCTTCCTCCACTCCTTCCGGTCTTCAGCTTTTGTGAGCGTGTCTTTGAGGTCCAGGCTTGTCTATTCTTTAACTTTGTCCTCCCAACTCTTCCCTGGTCTGCCTCTGCTCCTTTTTTCCTTGACGTTGCCTTGCAAGATCATCTTGGCAAGGCCGGATGAACGGGTGATGTGTCCATACCATTGCACTTTGCGTTTCCTGACCAGAGCGAGAAGGTCAGCATATGGTCCAGTTGCATTTTTGATCCGTTGTTTGACTTCATCATTTAAGATGTGATCTTTGTATGAGATATCAAGGATTTTTCGGAAGCATCTCATCTCCACAGCTTTGATCCTTCTTTCAAGGTCTGCATTCCAGGATTCACATGCATACAGAAACAAAGTTTTGAGAAAAATGGCTTGAAAGTTTTCCAGTTACCCTTTGATCTGGATTGAGTTCAACCCCCATTTACTCCACATGATGAATACTGATAGAAAAAAAGAAATTTTGAGTTTCACAAAGTGTCAATCTTTTTCGAATGCAATTCTTTGAATATCCTAACAACGACTCCCGAATAATCTTACAATTTTGATAGAGCAGATACAACATGTTTTTACCTCATGGCCTTAGTAACTCTAAACGGCCACACATATCTTATAGAACTTTGTACATGTAATTCTAAGGCGACGAATTGAGAGAGAGCTAAAGATGATGCCAGAAACAACAACAACGACAAAAAATACAAATAGTAATAAAAATAACTAGGAGACATTGTGGATGTAGGCTATCCAGGAAACAGAGTAAGAACGACAACCTGTTGACTACATACATGTACTCTACATACAACCAGAACGAGCTGGCACAAGAAGAATTCTAAGCTTAATTCTTTGTTTCAAAATGCTACCGGCACAGCCCGAAGCCTGCTGGGAGTCATCCATCCTTCTGACTTAACCCATTATTTTAAGCTGAAAAACACGACAAAAACATTGAGTATCGTTGCCCTATGCTTATTGAGAGTCTATTTTCATTCACCAATTCATCCTTCTAACTTATCCTAGTATTTTAAACAGAAAAACAACAACCGACAAAAACATTGGGTATCGATGCCATGTGGTTGAATCAATACATGTGCCATCTACATGGCTCAGCACAGTCGCTGTTCCTTTGTCCTCAGCTCTTACAATAACAGGTCCTCTATCTCCTCCTCATCTCCTTCCTCTTCCTCCTCCTCCCCCTCATCTCCTTCCTCTTCCTCCTCTTCCTCC